ATTCCTTCCTCTACTACAGACCTCCTTGGAAGTACGGGTTTGGATATGATGGGTTCCACCAATCAAGTACACTCACATTAAATTGGATGGTGAAAGTGATGTAGAGCCACATTGAGTGCAGATACTGGCATTTTTCAAAAGTATACCAGATCATTCTAATAGGTAGCCAGGATTCAGAACCACTGAAATAAATGGTACCTGTGGAGTTCTATGAATGAGTTTGGTAAGTGGATAGGAACATGCAGGAGGAAAAATAGAAAATTTCACATTTATAATGAGACATTGTTTTTCCATCCCTGCACTTGTTGAGGGGACCAAAATTTACCTAGAGAAGTGCTCAACTTTAACATTCACATGAATTACCTAAGTGTCTTGTTAATATGAAGGTTCTGACTCAGTAGGTCTGAGATGAGCCTTGAGATTCTGCATTTCTAACAATCTCCCAGACAATATTGATGCTGCTGGTCCAAGGATCACCCTTTTATTAGCAAGATTCCAGGACACTGGCCTTCCTCTCTATTGGGCCCTGATCCTGATATTTAGAGGCTTCTCTATTAAATGCCCCTAAGTGGTCATCAGTAGCTACATCATGGAGGTGGTTGTAGCAGCCACTCATTGTTCACCCAACGGGGCATTGGAAAAGTTCCAAAAGCCCTACCATTTCTCTACCAACAGCCTCACAGCCCCTCATTGTACCTAGCTCCTGTTGGAATTTGAGGGAAAGGTGAGCTCTGTAGTAACCTACGGGATAACCATTTTCCAGGAAGGTCCCACCTTGCCTTCACTGCGTTTCTTGTGTCTTGGCTTTGTATGTTCTATCAATCCAATTCCATATACTTATTATCTTCCTAAAACCTCAAACTTTCTGCTTTGTTATTTTTATCTTTCCTGGTTGTCCATCACTGCTATAGACTATTTTAAATTGTGTGCTGATTTGTCATTTCAATGAAATTTGTGAAGGGTAGGAGAGAAGAATACATGGGCTTAGTTTGTTACCTTAGAACAGAAGTCTTACTTTTCATTTCATAGGAATTGAAGTCTTTTCTCCCACTTGCTATCTGAGGCCTGCTGTTCTACCAATAGAATTTCATTTGTTTATTAAAATGTGGCCAGTTCCCATTCTGAGCCATTTTCAGAAAAAAAAAACTGAGAGCTGATACAAATGAGGAAGATTATTTTTAAAAAGCCATCTCCTTTCATAAAAATAAACTCAGAATCTTTAATTACAGGCCTTGGCAGGAAAGTTGTTGCTTAACAAGTAGCCCAACTCTATCCCATCTGTTTTATTTCACTTCCAGGGCATTGTTATTTTAATTCCCATTGTCATCACCATACCTGACCCCAGGGAGACATTTATTCTCCTTGAACACTATGGTCTAAGCATGGACAAAATCTCCTGCCTTAGTTTCCTCATTAACTAGTAGTATCAATAGCAGTAATAGTAATGATAACAATAGTTGCTCTGTTTTGCCCTTCCTATATGCTCAGCACTGTGCTAGGAACTTGGCATGAATTATCTAATTAATTCCTCATAGTTATCCTGGAAGGTGGCTAAGATTATTATCTGCATTTGATGAAACTGAGGTACCAAGAGGTTAAGTAACCTACTTAGGTAGCAATCGGCATAGCCAGAGTTAGATCCCTGGTCTCTGTGATCCCAGAGGTATAAACTTAACCATTTTGCTAAACTGAATATTAATATATACTAGTTCAACTGTATATAAATGCACTACCACTCACTCCTGGATTCCTGTCTGAAGGACTGCCATCCTCCCCAGTGACAGAGGTCAAATAGGCCTCTACCTCCAGGAATAGAGGATCTGTGACTCTGAGTTAGAGAAACAGTAGAAGAATCCCATTTGTCAAATGGTTTCAACTCAAATAATTGAGGGAGCTCTTTTTCCTATAGCCACAGCATGAAGATTTGAATAACTTCATCAAAGCAGGACTTCTCCTGATCAGCTAGCATCAAACCACTCACAGAAGGCCATGATGAGTTTTCAAAAATGGACTCACTTTTCCCGATACTTGAGTTTGCTTTGTGTGAATAATAAGAGCCTCTGAGGTGAATATATTGTTCACACAAACCATTAAATAGACTTTGCAACGTGAAAGTAATTCCCATGCTGAAAAACTTATCATTTTTTTTTCTTGAGGAAGTTTGGAAGGGAATGAAATGAAGTAAATGAAATAGAAAAAAAAATCATGCTATACCATTTTTGACAGAAAGCTGCAAAATATCCTTTACTTCAAAAGAACACTATAAAATACCATAATCATTTTTAATTGATTTAATTAGAACAGACCAAATATATAAATATATGAAGGATAATGCATGAGTGCATATATGGATACATCAAGTTGTTTTCTGAACAGAAATCTTATGCAGCCACTTCTCCATCCTCTAGGGGACAAGCCTAGTAGCGTAGGACCATGGAACCCTGCTGGCAGAGAGGAAAACAGAGGGTTGGTGGGGAGGAGGCTGGGAGCCAGGCAGAGGAAAGGGGGAAGTCAGCCCACCGGGTCCGCCTGCATTCTTCCATTCTTCACCGACATCGATGAGATCAAACAAAACAGCCAATCAGTGAAGACACCAGGCCGGTCCCAAAAAGCCAATGGGGGGCCAGAAGACCCTCATTCATATACCACCAGATAACCACAAAAACACAGACACTGCACAGCTGCTGTATCACCACGCTGGACTCAAACACAACAGCCCAATACTGGTATTTCCGGGCATAGATGTTTTTCTGGAGCTCTTCCAGGAACCTCCGGTCCACGCAGTTATCAGGAAAGGGCTGTCGCTCATAGAAGACTTTCTGCCACCTGGCCTCTTTGGTGTTACTTACAGGCTGAGCACACATTATCCTCTCCCTCAAGCTCAGGCCAGCTCAGTTGCCTTTGCAGAAGTCCACGTGGTTCTCGTTTTTCACAAAGTTTTGAAATAAGACCTCTCTGGAAATTCCATGCTGCATCGTGGTTGACATCGTACTGACCTTCCCTTGCTTTCAAAGGCAGCAACCCAGGCTAGGCCTGTGGCAGATGAGTCTGTTCTCTGAGGCAGAATAATAAAGCCAAGTTCCTGCCTGTGAATGCCTAGGGGTGCGAGGCCGGGGGAAGGTGGCCACCAGCCTCCTTCCCCATCTGGGGCACCAGCCATTGACTAGTTACTTTAAATGAGCCCCTAGCTTCTGTGTGAAATGTGATTAATAACCCCGTGGCCGAATGGTTATCATAAAGATTAAATGAGACCCTATACATGGTAAGAAAATTGAAAATAGGAAAATCTGTTGTATTTAGACAAGCCATAAGCCTTCTCTATCAGACTTGGTAGAAGCTGTCCCAGCAGACTTGTTCTAGGAAGAGGCCTTTCTTGGAAGCTGAGAGAAGTCTCTTTTCTCCATTCTAGTCCTGGCCATCTGAGGACACCACAAAGACATCTTTCCTCACTACTGAGCCTCCCAGATGATCCTGAGGAAAGTAGAGCAAGAAGCCTTCATCCTCAACACAATGACCTTAGGATGGGCTAAGGCTCTGTGGCCCTTCCCTTTGAGGGCCTCCTGAAAATGATACTTTAAATCCACTGGCCCTCTTGCTCCCAGTCAAGGAAAGCAATTGCAGATGGCAAATTGGAAACAGTGATTAGAGAGGCAAGTGGTACTTTCATAGATGAATGTAACAGCATTCTCATCAGTGAATATAGGACACTATGTACTAAAACCGAGGGCAGGAAGTGGGTGAATGCTCTTAGCAAGTAAGTTTGTAAGTATTAGAACCATTTTTATGGTAATAAAGAATATAGATTTATCATAAGGATGTATGGGACTTTCAGATATAATTCTTCTGGTAATGAGACATGTTTGATTTTAGGTACCTTAAGGGAGAACCAGCTGCATCCCAGAGTGTAAGACCTCTACCATGTGTCTCCCCACTCTCCACCTTATGATCCTCAGAAGGTGGTCAGAGAGCAGAGATCAGGTGCAATCCTCTTGCTCTGAAGGAGGTAACTGAAATTCACCTTTGGAAGCTGAAGAGGCTAGGAATTGGCAAGATGCAGAAGGGAATGCTGAGAACTGAGCCTTCTGAGTTTGGTGGATAAAGTTGGCCGACCCCCATGGAAAAGATAAATGGTGAGGGCAGTAAAGAGTTTAAATGAGGAGAGAGCCAAGAAAGGGTAAAAGTTACCAAAGGAGAGGGTTTAATCATTTTCTTCAAATCCTGGGGTTGAGATGGCGGTGGTGGATCTATAAGGCCTGACACCCTAACCCAGAGACACAATACCTGTTCTTCCTCTAATGCCGTATCTTGGAACAATTATCTGGACCCTTCAAGTAAATAAGCACTTTATTAGGGTCAGTATTTAGTTCTTCTGGAGAAAGATATGTGAAGTAGTGCCAGAACATACTGTTTTCCCTGATGGGCAGCATGACACCACATGGGGGCCTAGTGGGCAGCATGGAGCATCTATGTGTAGGAGACACAATGATGAAAGAATTAGTAAGGTCACTCCACCTGCTTTGGGGGATGGATAAGGAATGCATCTACCTCTGAGGAGACAGGAGTGGAAGCATTAGGAAAGAATTGGAGGTGAGGGATTCCTAAGTGATATGGATTCTGGTTAGGTCCAAAAAGCAGCTTTTAAGCTCATGTGAGTGCCCAGGACAGGTATTAGACTTGAAGCTGCAAGAAAAAGGAGCAAGGTCAGGAATGGACTTTTGAGTCTTATTGAAGGGCAAGGTTACATGAAGGACAGTCCCATCCATAAAGACATTTTAAGTGCCCCTGGTTACAGGATCAAACTTGGTTCTTGTGGCACACTCTTCCAGAAAGGACATGAAAGGTCACAGATAGCCCATGGCATACTTGGCAATGGAATAGAGAGCTGACAGGCCAAAATTAGGCTAGGGTAAGCGGCCCCCACCAGGAAAATTCCCTTTATTTGGCAACTGGTAAAATACACACACAAACACACAAAATGGCATGAGAGCTATGCCTGGAGGTGTCTTTTTACTTCTTTTATTGAACTCCATAAATATTTTCATAAGGCTTTGTGTCATTACAACATCATATTTTTGTTAAACATTTTTTTAAACACACAACTTTGACACTTGTTTGACAGGGTCAAACAGTCAGATAGAAGAAATGAAATAATAAACTGGCAAATGCAGAGCAGCAGGGGTAATCAAAATCACTGTTGCCCATCCATCCACCCCAGCCCACCCCATCCCCAAAGCATTAAAGATCACTATTTGGCTTCACACTAGAATTGTTAAAACTGTCTTGCTGCTGTCCTTATAAATCCCTTAAGAGATATACACATAGAAAGAAAGGGAGAATGAGGAGTTTGATTTCTGTGTTAGGACCATCCCACAGCAGGACCCATAGATACTAGAAAAGCCTTTTGGGGAGCAAATCCAGGCCTCACCGAGTTGAAGAAAGGGGAGCTCTTGGCCATGCAGGAACAGAGATTTATGAATTCTTGGGGATAGCACTGCTATGGGGACACAGAATAGGTTGGACTCTGAGCCCAGGTAATGGGGCTCCCCTTGGGGCTGTTGGCCACTGGTCTGTTTTGCTGCCACAGGCTAGGGGGAAATCCAACCAATGGCAAACTGCTTTCTTGTTGTTTTCATAAGTCATTGGCATCTGATGAGGCCAGTGGGTTGGGTGTATGAGAGGTGGGTGGAAAGAGGTGACAATCCCTGATCCTGGAGCTCTGGGCACAGTCCTAGGGGAGCAGGGGGGGATGGGGGATCTTGGCCAAGAGATAGCATTAGGTCTAGGGACTTGTCCAAGCATCCCTTCTTGGTGTACCCCCAGGCCCTAGAGAAACATGTCAAGGCCAAGCCTAGTGGGAAGGAATGGAAAGTAGGAAAAGAATATACACTCATGGGAAACCTACACAGCCATTGAAAGACATTCTGTCTTCCAGGGAGATCATTTTAGCTTAGGCACTGCATACCAGGCTCCTTGCCAAGGGGGCTTAAGTAGCTGGGTCATGTGCTGAACAGTAGTGGCCAGTCCCGAGCCCCAGCCCTCTGCCCAGCTCAGACTCAACCTTGGCTTACTCCTCAAGCCCGATTTGGGTGTGGTGAAATGGGATTTTAAAGAGCTTGTAATTTGATTCCCATAGAGGAAAAAAAACTTTCCCAGGCTTGGCAGGGAATAGAGCAGCAATCAAGCTAGCCATGCTGAGTGTCCCCTGCAGCCATTACTGCTGCTCATTAAGCTGAGGTCCTTTCATGATGAAGTCTTCCCCCATAGGGTCCAGGACAGACTCAATCTCCAGATTCCCCACTGGAATGGGGAATCTCCATAGTAGGGCCCATCCTCACTCCGTTGTACTCCATTCTCCTTGCTGTTCAAGGCCTATTCACCCAAGGGGTCATGTGAAGAGGAGGAACAGGTACTCCTGCCATAAGGAACCTGCCTCTTTGTAGGGAAAGCTAATTTTCCCCAAGTGTAAAAACCTACTAAAATTTAGCCTGAGAGTAGCAACTTGGCCTCTGATTCTTTCTTCATAGAAAAAGTCCCCTGGGCTCCTCGCTTGCTTCAAATGTTCTGGGATGGGAGAATGTTGGAAACAGGGCCTTTTTTGGGTGCCAGAAATGCTTTAACTATGCTCATTTCATAGCAGTAATCCTCCTGTGCCAGGATAGCAAGAAAAAGAAGGAAGACAGGGAGAGAGGAAGAAAGGAATCATGGAAAATTATCCATACAATCTGCTAACAACAGGGAGTTTCATAAACTTGAGTGTTAGGAACTTCAGGTACATATCATGGGCCAAGGCTGTCTCTTTCCATGCTTGTCCTTGTTCTTCCATATGAGAGGTTACTGTCAGCCTTGGATCTTGTCCAGGTCAATAATTTGAAGATAGCTGATGATCTCAGTCATGTAGGCTCTGTCTTGACCTCTCATAGACTCCTATCAATGCTGCCTAAAAAATCTGCAAATGTGAAGCAGGTATGACCAGGCCCCTGGATTGATTGCAGTGGGGAATGCCATGCTAAACCTACTTGGTGATGGAAGCAGTTGAATCTCTCTTTCAGGAAGCAGAGTCTCCACCTCTTTGCTTCCAGTTCAGATTTTTTAGGTTAGGGGAGGGACAGGCCTAGGAGGAACAACATAACCAAAGCGGCATGAAGAAGAGAATAACTGACCCAAACTAAACCCCACATACAAAATCGTCATGAACTAGCAGTGCTGTCACAATGGGAACCCCCAGTGCTAGAAGAAACAGCCCAAATGCAGAATGTTCCCTGAACAGAAGTCTTCTCCAGCATCATTATTCTGACACTTCCTTGCCTCTGTTTAGTTTCAATCCCTCTAAAACAACTAAAACACAGTGAAAACAATAGAAATATTGAGCAATTATGTCACAGGGCACAACAGAGTATGTCCAGACTGGCACAACTGGAGACAGAAGATGCAGGGAAAAGGCTATTTGGGGCAACTGCAAGGCTGCAGAAACATTCACAGATGGTCATTTGAGGGAGAGGAGAAAGGGGATCCTCCCTTTACTTAGTGAAAAGTAAAAGGAAAAAAAAAGAAATTCGAAACTCCCAAACTCCACCACATCAAATTAAATTAAAAAGTCATCAGCATCAGTATCATTAAGAAAAAAAAAACAACACAAACACATCTATGGTAATAATGACAAGTGAATGAATCACTCACAGGAGAGCAAAAGATTATCTCAACAAGAAAAGGAACATATAGAAGTGTCAATTTCTGAAAGTAAAGGGGAGGGGGACAGGGTAAGAACAGAAAACTTTTTAAAGGGATCGTATATTTGAAAGTCATTAGTATTTCTTTCTATCAACTACAGATTTTATTTCCCTAAAACAACAGAAAACATTTTTGGTCCTTCTGTGTATGTGCGTGTGTGTGCGTACACTGAAGTGTCTGTATGTGTGTGTGTGTGTGTGCGTGTATGTGTGTGTATGTATGTATGTGTGTGTATATATATATATATATATATGCGCATATATATATATATATATAAATTTCAACAGTGCTTCTCCGAAAAAAGGTCCATCTATAAATATAATTTTATTTACTTTATTTTAAAATTATCTGCCTCCCTGTAGGTATTATTTTTTGAAGGGGGTTAACCTGCTGAAGTTTTGCCAGAATGGTGACTGGCTGCGCTTGGGTTCAGTGAACTCAAAGACCTGTGATTGAGCGATGCCATCGGGAACCAGGTACTGGCCCTGGTTTAATGGGTCCTGTGGTGGTGGATAGGAAGGAGGAACTGAGCGAGCAGAGTTGACACCTAGAATAAAAAGAGATCAAAGTGAAATGGTGTAAGCTAAGTAGCAACGGTCTTCTCAATTACCCAGTGACCACTTTGAACATACAATTCAAGACAGCCTACTTTAGAGCATGCTAACTGAAACTGAAAATCATCCAAAGTGCTGTACACCTGAAATTAATATAATATTGCAAATCAACTATACTTCAATTAAAAAAAAATAAAATCATCCAAGGAAAGAACTCCTGGTTAAGAATTCCTAGTTAAGATTCCAGCCTGGTTAAGAACTACTAAATTCAGGGCAGGTCTTTGAGGGGAAATGGTTTTCTAAAAACTAAGGTACAAGTGACTCAGTGTTCAACATCAGGTTGAGAGTGATTAAACAACATTTATTAGGGAGGTGACATTGGTAGTTGAGGGAGAAAGCAAACTCACCCAGCAGAAGATAAGATTCATGGAACATAAAGAAGACTTGGAATATATTTGTGACCTTTTAAAGGAAATACTTCAAAGATTTCTCAACTTTTATAGGAGAATTTGAAACCAAAGCAAAATTCACATAGAGGATTCCAGAAATCAGGGGACCTAAATTTAAAGTTTAATCCTTTTCTAAATTCAGAACAGAATAGGCTGAGGCACACAGAATATGATTCAGAGTGCAAGGGCGATCTTTCTGCTGCTCCCAAATACCTTCTTCATGCTGGTCAGTGTCTGAAATTTCAGCATTACATCTTCTTTGCCTTTGTTTAACGACTTGATCCCATTACCCTGGGATATTAAGCCATAATCAGCCATTGGTACTTCAGTGGGAAGGAACTACTTCTTTTCTAAAAGCCAGCATTTTTTGTTCTATTTTTGTTACTATTATAGTTTTCCAGCTTTATTGAGATATAACTGACATACAGTATTGTGTAACTTTAAGGTGTGCAATGTAATGATTTGATATCCGTATATATTGTGAAATGATTACCACAATAAGGCTAGTTGACGTATCCATCATCTCACATAATTAACTTTTTTTGTGGTAAGAACATTTAAGAACTACTCTCGTAGCAGCTCTTAAGTATACAATAGAGTATTGTGAACTACAGTCGTCATACTGTATGTTATATCTCCAGAAACTCTTCCTTTTGTAACTAGAGGTTTGTGCCCTTTGACCAACATCTCTCCACTTTTCCCAACCCAAGCCCCTGGCAACCACCAATCTACTTTCTGTTTCTGTAATTTTGCATTTTTCAGATTACACATATAAGTGAGATCATATAGTATTTGTATTTTTCTGTCTGACTTAATTCACATAGCATAATTCCCTAAAGTACATTCATGTTTCCATAAATGGTAGGATTTCCTTCTTTTTATGGATGAATAATATTCCATGGGGTGTGTTTGTGTATGTGTGTGTGTCTTTATCAAATATATGGTTTACAAATAGTTTCTCCCATTCCATAGGTAGCCATTTCATTTTGTTGATTGCTTATCTTTTGCTGTGCAGAAGGTTTTTAGTTTAAAGTAGTCCCACTTACTTATTTTTGTTTCTTTTGCTTGTGCAGAAGGTTTTTAGTTTGAAATAGTCCCACCTGTTTTTGTTGCTCTTGCTTGTGCTTTAGGTTAAAACACTTGTTGCCAAGACCAATGCCAAGGAGTATTTTCCCTATACTTTCTTCTAATTTTACAGTCCTTAATTCATTTAGAGTTAATTTTTGAGTGGTGTAAAGTAGGGGTCCAATATACTCTTTTGCATGTGAATATCCAACTTTCCCAATACCATTTATAGAAAAGACTAACCTTCTTCCATTGAATATTCTTGGCTTCCTGACAAATATTAGTTAACTATAAATGTGCATTTAAATTGGGCTCTCAATTCTGTTCCATTGGTCTATATGTTGGTTTTTATGCCAGTATCATACTTTTTGGATTACTATAGCTTTGTAAGATAGTTTGAGATTGGGAAGCACTGATGCCCCAGCTTTGTTCTTCTTTCTCAGGATTGCTTTGGCTAGTTGGGATTTGTGATTCCATATGAATTTTAGGAGTGTTTTATCTCCTTCTATGAAAAATTACATGGAATTTGAGACAGGGATGACATTGAGTATATAGATGGATTTGTCTAGTAAGGTCATTTTCACAATATTAATTCTTATAATCTTATAGACATGGAATATCTTTCCATTTATTTGTATCATCTTCAATTTCTTTCATAAATATCTAGTAGATTTCACTGTACAGATCTTTAAACTCTTTGGTTAAACCTATTCCTAAGTATTTTACTCTATTTTGCGTTACTGCAAATGGGATTGTTTCCTTAATTTCTCCTTTGGATGTTTGTTGTTAGTGAAACACAACTGAGTTTTGTATATTGATTTTGTATCAGGAAATATTACTGAGGACCTTTATTATTCTAATACTATTTTTGGAGAGTTTAGACTTTCTAGATATGAAGTCATGTCATCTGCAAATGGAGGCAATTTTACTTCTTCCTTTCTGACTTTTATTTCTTTTTCTTGCCTGATTGCTCTGGCTAGGACTTCCAGCACTATGCTGAATAGAAGTGGTGAGGATTGGCACCCTTGTCTTATTCCTGATCTTAGAGGAAAAGTTTTCAAAATTTCATTGTTGAATATGATGTTTTAGTGGTAAGCTTGTCATAAAAGCCATTGGTTATATTGAGGTATGTTCCTTGTATATCCAATTTATTGAGGGTTTTTATCATGAAAGAATGATGAATTTTGTCAAATGCTTTTTCTGCACCTATTGAGATGATCATGTGATTTTTATCTTTCATTCTGTTAATGTGGTGTATCACATTTATTGATTTGCATATGTTAACAATCTTTGCATCCTAGAGATGAATCCCACTTGATGATTGTGTATGATCCTTTTAATATGCTGTTGAATTTTGTTTGCTAGTATTTTGTTGAGAATTTTTGCACCCATATTCATCAAGGATACTGGCCTGTGTTATCTAGTAGCATCTTTATCCAGCTTTGGTATTGGGGTAATGCTGGCCTTGGAAAATGAATTTGAGAGTGTTCCCCTTCAAGTTTTTGGAAGAATTTGAGAAGAACTGGTGTTAATTCTTTTTTAAATGTTTCATAGAATTCACCAGTGAAGCCATCTGTTCCTGAGCTTTGTTTCGTTGGGAGGTTTCATTATTGATTAAATCTTATTACTCATTTTTTTGCTCAGTTTTATATTTTACCCCAATTTAATCGAGATATACTAGACATATTACATTGTATACCATATTACATTGTACATATGATCTGACATATGCATATACTGTGAAATGGTAAGAACATAAAGGTTACTTAACATCCATCACCTCACATAGTTACACATTTTTTTCTTTTGATGAGAACTTTAAATATCTTAGCAACTTTCAAATACACAATACAATTTTGTTAACTTTAGTCACTATGTTGTACATTACTTCACCAAAACTGATTTATTTTACGACTGAAAGTTTGTACATTTTGACCACCTTCATCCATTTCCCACCCCCACACCCCCTGCATCTGGCAAACACCAATTTCTTCTCTGTTTCTATAAATTCAGTTTTATTAGATTCCCCATATAAGTAAGATCACACAGTAGTTTTCTTTGTCTGAATTATTTCACTTAGCATAATGTCTTACAGGTTAGTCTATGATGTGGCAAAATATAAGATTTCCTTCTTTTATATGGCTGAATAACATTCTGTTGTGTGTGTGTATGTGTGTGTGTGTACATTTATTTTATCCATTCATCTGTCAATGGACACTTAGGTTGTTTCCGTGTCTTGGCTATTATGAATAATGCTGCAATAAACATGGGATGCAGATATCTCTTTAAGATAGTATTTCATTCCCTTGGCTATGTAGCCAGAACTGGAATTGTTGAATTACATGGTAGCTCTATTTTTAATTTTTTGAGTAACTTTCATACTGTTTTCCATAGTAGCTGTACCAATGTACATTCCCAACAGTATACTTGGGTTCCCTTTTCTCTACATCCTTGCCAGCACTTTCCAGCACTTATTTTTTGATAATAGTCATTCTGACAAGTGTGAGGTAATATCTTATTGTGGTTTTGATTTGTATTTTCTGATGATGAGTGATGCTGAGAAACTTTTCATGTACTTGATGGCTTTTGGAATATTTTCTTTGGAAAAAATGTCTATTTAGGTCTTTTGCTCATTTTTAGTTGGAGTATTTGTGGGGTTTTGCTATTGAGTAGTATGAATCCTTTATGTATTTTGAATATTAATCTCTTTTCAGATATGTGGTATGCCACTATTTTCTCCCAATCCACAGTCATTACGATTATCTTTAGAGTTTTCTATATATAAAATTATGTCATCTGCAAACAGAAAAATTTTTACTTTTTCCTTTCTGACTTTTATGTATTTCCCTTGCCTGATTGCTCTGGCTAGGACTTCCAGCAGTATGTTGAATAGTAGTGAGAATGGGCATTATTGTGCTGTTCCTGATCTTAGAAGAATAGCTTTTAACCTTTCACCATTATGTTAGCTGTGGGCTTGTCTTATATGGCTTTTATTATGTTGAGGTATATTCCATCTAAACCTAATTTGTTGAGAGTTTTTATCATGAAATAATATTGAGTTCTCTTAAATGCTTTTTCAGCATATTTTGATATGATCATATGATTTTATCTTTTTGCCATTAATATGGTGTAACAGATATATTGATTTGCATATGTTGAATTATCCTTGCATCTCAGGATGAATCCCACTTGATGATGGTGTATAATCTTTTTAATACACTGTTGAATTTGGTTTGCTAGTATTTTGTTGAGAAATTTTGCTTCTGCATTCTTCAGGGATATGGGTTTGTAGTTTTCTTTTCTTGTAGTGTTTTGTTCTGGCTTTGGTATCAGCATAATGCTGGCCTCATGAAATGAATTTGGGAGTGTTCCATCTTTTTCAGTTTTTTGGAAGACTCTGAAATGGACTGGTGTTAATTCTTTAAATGTTTGGTAAAATTCACCAGTGAAACCATCTATTTCTGAGCTTTTCTTTGTTG